AACATCAATTAATGGCTTGTGTTACTTTCAAGAAACTTTAGCATTATCTTAATTGCAATACGCTTTTTGTAAAAGTTTTTTTTAAGGAGTATGAAGCATAACATAAACAAATATGATAGTCTTGAAGTTTTTGTAACTTTTTCTTGTTATTGCTTGCAATTTTTGTATTTTGCAAATTTATTTTTCAAAAAATATATACAATAAGTTTGATACATTTAAAAAAATTACAGAGAGCAATAATAGCAAGGTCAATAATGGAAGAATTTATTTTGAATAATTATAAGGAAATTATAAAAGTTATTCAATCTTCTTGTGCCTCTATAATAAAAAAGTTTAAATTTTTAGTTTTTGTTGAAAACTATAGACTAGATTAAAACTTTCTTTTCTTGTTACTCTACATGGCAATCAGGATAATTAGGTGGCAACAATAACATCAATTTGGGAATAAAATTTGAAAATAAATAATATTGGGAATATTTTTTAGAAAGAGTGTTATTTTGGCAAAAAACTCTCTTAATGGCGAATGAAACATGCATTAAAATTGTAGATTTGTAATTTAACAAATATAAAAGATCTGAGAAATTAAGAATAGGTTTAAAAGGTATCATCAATTTTAAAATCGCTGCAGTCTACTCTGTATATGTTATAATCGTTAGATATGTTAATTAATAGTTGTAAGTTTTAATAAAGATAATGAGATCTATCGATATAGACTTGAATTTGAAAAAAAATTCAAATTTAACAATCAAATTTGAAGTAAATTAAAATTTAAACAATAAGAGAAGGAAAAATAATACAAAATTTCACTAGGAACTTTTAGGAGAACAAAAATTTTCACTAAGAACCCTAGGAGAAATAGATATCTCTCACTAAAGAAATTTAAGAGAGATTTTATTAGAAAAATAACAAAAATGAAACCTATAGGAGAGAGATCAAAGAAATCATAGCGGTCTCCCTCTCAAAAAAGAAGGGATTTAAAGAAAAGAAGCAGTAGAAAAATGTTGGAGAAGAGTAATAAATCGGCCTTCTTTTTTAAGTGATTTGTAGTATAAAATTATATTGGTCAAAAATCAGACAAAATCATCAAAAATCGGTAAAATCAGTGATTTGATTCGACTGGTTGCTCTGATTCTTAAACTTTTCTCTTTTCTTTTCTCCAAACATAATATGAGTTATTTAAATTATAATACTTTTATTTATTAATAGAAATAAGAAAATGTTAATATTTAGTATAAATATTAAAATCACTCGCTTTTTTAAATGATTTCTAAATTAAGATGTTTTTATTCTTATGATCTCATTAATTTAACATTAATGATTTCAACTTATATTAATTTATTTTAATTTAATTTTTCAAGTAGTTTTAGATAATGGATATATTTTAATCATGAATTTACATTTTCATATATAATTATTAGGTGTATATTTGATTGCGAGTCTAATATTTTTAGAACATTTTTCATGATCGGTCAAATATAACCAAGAACTTAATTTCAATATTTTTGAATTTTATAAAAATATAAAATAATTATAACACCATGTTGACGTCAGTGGATTTTTGAGAACGGTCCGATCTGATTAATTGATTTCTAATCCAATAGTTTAGTTGAGTCACTATCTGGTTCGGGTTTAACAGCATTGTTTACAGCTGGTATAAATCCAAAGTCCAAAACCCAAAATCGAAAAGATTAACATAGTGCTCTTCTAATCTAAATGAGTTAGAAAAGAGTAAACATGAATTTAAGCTAGCAGTAATTTTTTTTTAAGATACGAAAAGAAATTATCCGTTTTAACTAATTTAGGCGAGAAGTTAACTTAAGCACCTTAAGAATAAGTAAAGTTTCACTTCCAACATTATGAAATGATGAAATATATGTGTGTGTGTGTGTATCATTTTTTTTTTTCACTTTTTTTGGGCTTAATTGAGACTTAATCACTTCCGAGAGCTGAATTAATACTTTTTATCTACTTTGAAGGGCCAAATTAAAATTCGCCCTTTTGCCAATGTTTTTTTTTGAAACATCAAAACCTCCATTCATGTCAGATCTTGAAGAGCCGCAACAGTGACAGCCTTGGGGAAGTTTAGAAACCATACTGTACTTCCCTCAAGCGACAATGACATTCTAGACACGATATGGGCAGGAACATTGTTGGTTCTACTCACACAACTAACTTTTACAAAATCAAATGCAGCAAGTAGTGATCTTATGCCATGAATTAAGTTACCTATCAATGACAAATCTGTTTCATTGCTGTTAATCCTCTCTACAATATTTAAAGCATCCCCTTCTAGCAAGAAATGTGTGATTCCAAAGTCTCTTGCAAATTCCAAAGCACTGAGAAATGCCAGGCAATGTTAGCCCTTTTGTCAATGTTAGTTCATATGTACGTTTGGCATTCCTCTGTTTTCGGCTGCCTTAGATCATTGCAGCCGTAGTATGTTTATTTGTTCTTATTTGGTCAAGCCCCTTGGCCTACGAATTGTGTTGATTTGGTTAACTCCGTGATGATTTATGTCATTACAAAGATCACGTACCATTGGGGATAATGTTTGTGGGAGATTGGATGGGAGTTTGAGGAGAGAAATTGCTGATTTGTTATGAAATCGAGGACAAAAACGTTGATGTTCAAGAGTTAAACTTGTTTACTTGTCTTATATAATCATTATTTATTTGTTTAGTAAATATATATTTTAACTCATTTCAGAGTATATTGATGTCCACTAATTAAATACTTTTACGAGTCTTTGATAAATTATTAAATAAAGATTTATAGATTAATCTTTCCTATACTGACAGTGTATATTAACAAATTAAACGGTGATAGTGTATGCGTTGTCAGTGTATATGAAATTTATTCAATATTTATTAGAATTTTCAAAATTTTCCTTATTGTTAACTATAGGATGTTAATTTGATATCTTGACACTAATTAGGTATTTCAAATCATATTAATTATAGGGTAAGCATATTTTTGTACGTAGGTTGTAGATGTATTTAGAATTACAAGAGGAGTTCATAAATAAATTTTAAAACATTTAAAGACCACGACACAATACTTATAAAGTTTTAGTTTTTATAGTCGATTTTTTTTTGTTTTTTGCTTTTGTTTTAATTTTATTATTCTTTTTCATGTATTTTGCTTTAGTTGTAGGGGTCCGAATATTCAACTAATTTAGAAATGGTACCGTGTCAAACAAAATTACTTTAATATTATATTTTATTTTATTTTTATATAGTTGATATATCTTTTAGGGATAATTTCAGAAACCTCCCCTGAGGTTTCATGAAATATCACCTAGCTCCCCTAAAGTTTTCAAAATCTCACTTAGCACCTTGAAGTGATAGTAGGGCCATATGCTAATATCAAAGGTGATGAATTTTCAATAATACCCTCATATTTAAATTTTCTAAACTTGTTTTTCTTTTTCTAAATGTCAATGAAATATAGGATTTAACCAATGAAATATTCAGCGCATTTGCAAAAAAAAAGCCGCAGGCTCTTTTTTTCTCCTTTTTTTTGTGTTTCACAACTTTATTTATTTATTTAGTTATTTGTTCCTATTCATGTAGAGCGCAAGAGAAATAAAGTAATTAAAATTTCGAACTGTAGTTTTTCAAATTTTGAGTTTTTTATAATAAAATTTTCATATTTCATACCCATAAAAAAGTCGGTCTATTTTGAGTAAATTCTCTGTATGATATTGAAGTTGAAATTTCATCTATTGCTGAGTTTTTTTGGCTCAAATGTATGATTTTTACATGCTAATTGCCTGCAATGCTATGGAGGGTTTTATTTATAAAAATAGTTTTAAAAATATTTGCTTTTGCTGTCTCTCTCTACTATATAAATGACTATTGGCTGTAATATAAAATCTTATCAATTTTCATCTCTTCACTTTTAAGATGGTTTCAATTTAGTACTTTTTTTCCTTGGTTTGTAAAGTGTTCATTTTTCTATAGGTTAAGGGTATCAAAGGAACTAAAATAATCTCTCTCCTCAAACATGAATTTTTTAATATTACTTTTAGTTAGAAGAGTGATTACTAAAATATCAATTCAAGGGGTGCTAAGTGAGATTTTGAAAATCTCAAGGTAGTTACGTGATATTTCATGAAACCTTAGGGGAGGTTTCTGAAATTATCCCTATCTTTTATCATAATGGCATAACTAAGATTCCTTTATCAATAAAGTACCATACACTGATCTCGTGATAAGTGTATCAAAAGTAGACATGGTTTTCTCCTTGTATTGATAGAGTTGTTAAATAGGGAGACATGGAGGAAGACGAGGTTGACTAGTGCTTGTTTGATTTTCTCTAGAATTTATCGTCTTATTTATTTTTTTTGAGCTGCTAAACCTTATATGTTTTTGGTGATGATACTTTTGTCCATTTATGAAAAGTTTAAAAACTGTCCACCATCTATTAAGTTAAATGGGATAACCATTTTGGCACGCGAGCAGCTCGGTCAACGCTCGTCTCGAGCTATCGTCGTTTATAGCACGAGTTGAGTTCGAGCCATCTGTATGAAGGCTCATGAGCTCGCGAGCCGTGTGAAATTACATAAATACCCTTACTTATTTAACTAATTATTAAACTAGATACAATTTCTCCAAGGGCTGAAGGACCAAAACTAGGGATGTACGCGAGTCAAATCAATATCGAGTAGCTCGCGAGTAGTTCGATCAACGATTTGGTTTGAACTCGGTCAAATCGAGTTCGAGCCGAGTCTCGAGCTACTCGAGTATATTGTCGAGTTGAGTTCGAGTCAGCAATTTGAGGCTTGAGACTCGACGAATAGCTCTTCGAGCCGGATATATTTAATTAATATATATAATTTAAATAATATATATGTATTATAATTATAAAATGACCGTTATAGATATAATTTATACTGAATTTATTTATAATAAAATTCCATAAGGGCAGAAAAGTAATAACATAATTGTAAAAGACCTAAAAAGAAAAAATGTTGGGAAAAAGCAAAGAAAAGCTTCAGACTTTAGTTTCTGTTCCTCCCTTCTTCTCTGTTCGAACGAGTGACTTCTAAACCCTATCTCCGTTACTCTCAATCTCTCCCTCGTCGCCGACGCCGTTGCTCGCCACATCTGTCTGCCTCCATCGCCATCGCTTTTCTGGTTACTGGTATGTCTGCCTCTGCTCTAATGTGCATTTCCAGTTCTATTTCCATTTCTCCCTTCATTCATCTTCGCTTCCCTCTCTCTCTGTCTCTCTCTATGGCACCATGGGTGTGGGGACTGGGGACGGGGAATGGGAAGTAGTAGTATGATTGATTACTGGGTCTGGGAGTAAACCCAGAAGCATATTAAATTTGTTTTCCTGTCTGCCTCCATCGCCATCTGGATCTGATGAAACACTTCTGCTTTAATTTGTTTTCCTTTTTTTGTCTTTTTTTGGCCTTTTTTATTAGGCATGCGTAAGTGTAACAATGAATACGAAAGCTGTGTGGAATTTTTTTGTCTTTTTTTTGTCTTCCGCATTTGAATGGTATGCTGTGTTGAATTTTTCGTAAAAATGCCACGCAATTGGCTAAAGTAGTACACGGTTCTACTAAATTGGACTTCAACTGAATTCGTAACCTTTGTCAAAAGTGGTTCAATCAGAAGGAAATTACTCACACTCCATCATCTTCACATGGCTCTAGATTCTAATTATTGCTCTCTTTGTGCTAAAGAATAAATTCTAACTTCTAAGAGCAGATTTCTAAAACCCCAAAATAAAAATTGTAAATCATAGATATAAGGTGTAGCCTGTCAATCCTGGAAGTTAAAAAGAAAGTAGGAAGAACAATTTGAGTATTCCGTGGTAGTCTGGATTTAATGACTTGATATAGAGAGTTAAACAAGCACCACTAGAATTGTTGTGTGTAATTTGTTAGAAATGCCATTAAAACAAAACACACTCTGTATAATTCCACTAAAGTCCACAAACTTCATCCCACTTTGTATAATTCCTCTAAAGTCCCTAGATCACTTACATTAAGAGACTAAAGCTCAAAAAACTTGATTAGCCTCGACTTGATAAGGCTTGACTAAAGGTCGAGCCTTATTGAGTCGAGTCTCGAGCTTAAAAGAATTTCCTCTAGTCAAGCCTCGAGTTGTGATTTTTAGGCTTGATTGAGTTTGAGTCTAGGTACATATAGGTCGAGTCGAGCTCAAGTATAGCACTACTCGAGCTTGACTTGGCTCGAATACATCCCTAAGGTCCAAGGCAGTGGACTCTCACAACTCACAAACACACCTCTTTCTTCTTCCCACTTGGCTGTTCCGCTGTTGGCATTCATCTTTCCCCAAATCAAAAGCAAACCCTAGCCACCGCTACCACTGTCTGCACCACTCACCAGTCAGCCTCTTCTGCCACCACCACCGCCGCCCTTCAATTGAAGAGCCCTTTCTCTCCGAGTCCCAGTTTGTTGGCCAACGTTAGAAGCAGCTACGGTAGACATTTCATCAGCTCCATTGGTGGAGGGCCTCGCGAACAGGTTATCCATCACTCTTCTTCCCTTATTTTCTGTTTTTGTTGCTGTAAAATGATGCTTGGTGGTAGAATAAGTGATTGTTTCCTGTCATTAAAGCCAGATCGACTTCTTCACCTCTTTCCTGTTGTAGAATGTTTGTCTATTGCGAGCCTGGTAACGTCCCAATACAAAAGGGTTGCCCCATTTATGAAGTAATTGGCAATTGAAAGGCTTTGGAATTCATGGGAAAAATCAAGAGATCTTATATAATGTGTGGTGTCAGTGTAGTGTTGGTTTTCTGGGATGGGTCGGGCCATGTGATTCCAATGGCTATTTAACAATTCCAAATGCCGTTGCTTGTTTGAGGTGACCCGTCCGATTAAAGGCATGAAAAAGTTTTGTTTTCTTCCCCACCTTTTCCATCCATTAATGACTATCTCTTTGGTTTTGGTTTAACACATTGATTATTTTTCCCTATTTTTGTTGTGGCCAAAGTTGCAGTATTTGCTGCCTTTTGTTTGCCTTCTCAGCTCTCATCCTCTCTGTTACTGTATTCCCTTGGATTCTTGTAAGCTCTTTTTTCTGTAAATATATCAACATAAGTGGAATATAGACGTTTAACAGAATCCAAATTTGTGGGTTTTGAAGTTGAAAGCTGTTTAAGTTGGCCCTTAAAATTGTGGTTCTAGGAGGTGTTTTAAGACCAACTTATTCTCCTTCGCAATGGAGCCAAACTTACTTATGGTGAAGTCAGCATATTGGCTCGTGTTCTGTGTAGCCTAGGGATGGTCGGTCCAGTGGTATTTTTGCTTTAGGACGTCTGTACTGGAGTAGGGAGTGGCTCTAAAAGTTCAGTTCCAGGATGATATCTAAAATTGCTGTTGCCGTCTCTTTTTTTGTTTGCCAACTTTGTTACATAAAATTAGGCCCCTATATGAATTAAGATTGTACTAAATGTTGGGTTTTGAATTAAAATTTCCTTCCCATTTCTTTTTTTTTTTTTAATTTGGATCTGTTATTATTATTAGGGACAGTTTTTTGAAGATTGGTAAGAATGTTGGGTTTCTTTTTTTAACTTCTTACATACATTTAATCCGTCTAATTGTAGTACTCAAGAAGAACTTGAAATATTTGCATGGCATTTTCGGCTGTTGGTGATAGGAGAAAGTATAAATGTTAAAGATAGGACAGATTTGTGCACTAATGGAATGAGTTTGAACTAAATGGAATGAGTTTTTTGGACTTAGGATTGCTGATAAACTGATCTTGACAACAGTGGTTGGAACTTTTGGACTATAGGATTGCTGATAAACTGATCTTGACAACAGTGGTTGGAACTTTTGGACTATAGGATTGCTGATAAACTGATCTTGACAACATTTTTTGGAACTTTTGGACTAGGATTGCTGATAAACTGATCTTGACAACAGTGGTTGGAACTTTTGGACTATAGGATTGCTGATAAACTATCTAGGATTGCTGATAAACTGATCTTGACAACAGTGGTTGATATTTTTCCCTAATACCTTTTTATTATTGAAGTACGAGTTCCTGAAACTTTTCTCCTTCTCATAACTATGGTATGCTTAAAGAACTGACATTTTGTTTTGTTATTGGCCTGGCAGATTAGGGTCATCGAAAGGAATTGTGAAATTCCCCATGAAGGGCCCTTCTGTGACCTCATGTGGAGTGACCCTGAAGATATTGAAACATGGGCAGTCAGTCCAAGAGGAGCAGGCTGGCTCTTTTGATCCAGGGTTACTTCTGAGGTAAGCCATGTGTGAATGTGTGCAGTTATCATTCATCTTGTGCCAACTGTTTGTCTCTTTCTCCAGTCCAATCATATTAACAAGCTTGATCTAGTTTGTCGGGCCCACCAACTAGTGCAGGAAGGCCTAAAATACATGTTTCAAGATAAAGGACTAGTTACTGTGAGTTCTTTTCTCATTTCTGCCACTGAAATTTTGACTTGATTCCGTAGTCTAGACTCATGTCTTTACGTCATCCAATATATTTGTTTGCAGGTGTGGTCTGCACCAAATTACTGCTATCGTTGTGGAAATGTAGCGTCAATTTTGAGCTTCAATGAGAATATGGTACCAAATCCAACTTCTTGTGCTTGTTTCCACCTCTCTTTTCTCTGTGACTGTGCATTTTAGTGATACATGTTTTTGGTCATAAAATTGGATCAAAGTGGTCATTTTTTCTTTCTAAGATCCATTTTCTTTCGGCTTTGCGACCAAATGCATAGGCAATGAAAAGTGATTTAACTTGTATGTGTAATTTTTTTTCCCAAACAATGCTGAAGTTTCCCCTTCTTTTACATATATTGAAATTTGATTCTCGACTCTAATGAACATTTGAAAGAACATAAGTTTTGGGGGGGGGGGGATATAGAAAATTTGGTGATAATGAACCTTGACTTATGATAGTGGTGAACCTTGACTCTAATGAATAAAGAACTTTCCCCTTCTTTTTGGTCATAAAATTGGATCAAAGTGGTCATTTTTTCTTTCTATTTTTTTTTTATTTGATAATGGTCATTTTTTCTTTCTAAGATCCATTTGCTTTCGGCTTTTCGACCAAATGCATAGGCAATGAAAAGTGATTTAACTTGTATGTGTAATTTTTTTTTTTCCCAAAAAATGCCGAAGTTTCCCCTTCTTTTACATATATTGAACTTTGATTCTCGACTCTAATGAACATTTGAATGAACATAAGTTTTGGGGGGGGGGATATAGAAATTTTGGTGATAATGAACCTTGACTTATGATAGTGGTGAATATTTTGGAGACTTGTTAGAAAGGACTCTGGACAACAGAAATGATATAAGAGGGAGTAATTTTTCTTCGTTAGAACCAAAGGAGCTATGGAAATTGTTAAAAGGATAAAAGAAATTTGGTGATTTAATGAAGTGGAGCATGATTTGTAGAAAGCAGATGTAAAGGCAAAACATGTGATATCACTTTGAATACTTGAATCATACATTTGTTCAAAATTGAGAAAACAAAAAGAGTTGAGAAACATACTCGGACAATAAGAAAAGCTATTTGCATATAGACTATTAGCAGTTGACACATAAATAGAGACTTTCTTTGCTTATAACGGGAAGATAGTTTCTAACAGTCCGCTGCAATACAACAATCATAGGGGAAAGGGGATACTTTATATTCTGATACAGGGTTGCAGGGTAGTTAAAAATCGGCCCCTGGAAGAACATGAGGATAGGCAGGGGGAGATTTTGCTGTTAATTAGAATGTAGGCTGTTTTAATAATAAAAAATTGTGTTAGTATTATGCAAATCACTGTTTAGATTGTTGTTTCTATCTAATGCCTTTTTTAACTGGTCAAAACTTAATGAGCTTCTCGTTTTTCTCCACAACTGTTCTTGATTTGTGTTTCCAGGAGAGAAGTGAAATTCTTCACTGAAACTGAGGAAAACAACCAAATAAGAGGACCCAGGACAGGAGTACCTTACTTCTTGTAGTTGGATACTAGTGCTTGGTTTATTGATAATGAGAATATTTTTAAGAGGTGGTGGTGTGATTTTCCCGGTGGGGATTACGAAGAGATGGTAAGAATGTTTCTCAAGTGGCGCTGAGTACCAGGATGGTAATTCTCAGAAGACGGCTACGCACCTAGGTGATTATTTGGCCGAAATTGCATTTGCATAGTTTGTGTTGTGTATTAGAGATGCTTGGAGATTGTTACTTTTTGATCTTTATAATTAAAAAATATGTAAGATGATTGGTACGTTGTTTCCATATGTGAGCTAGACTAATTGTTTGCAGTTGTGGCTTAGAGAAATAGTTTTCCAAAGCTTTGGTTTTAGGCTGGTGGTAAGTTGCCTATAGGAGAGCAATAATTTCTTCTTCAGTGACCAATGTTTTGTTGTTGACCTTATCATTTTGAGAGGATCTATATCTGGACTTATTCTCTGTAAAGTTTCGATTGTTCTTTTTTATTTATTTTTTCTTCCCCTCTTTCGTGTCTTTGTATTTGCATGTGCGTTTTCCTTAACTAAAACTTTTCTTTGTTGTTAGTTAAGATTGCAGTTTCTATCCTGCGGCTGCAGATACACAATAAATAAACAATTTTAATTGTCTACAGGTACATTTTTCTTAGGGGTGAGCAAAATTACTAACCTGAAAATCAGCCGGATTGATCCAATCCGTAAATTAGGATATCTAATTTGTATTATTTGATTGGGTCAAAAGAGGATTGAATACTCACTTAAATATGCAGATGTGTGGAGGGTTATGGTCACATAATAAAAAATTCGTGACTACACGACGTGATATATATATAAAATTTTTATATACATTATAAAATAATATTTTTAGACCAAAATAAGCAATTTTATTGAATAAATTGCATTATAAATATGAAAGATCATAGTTTATTTATAAGATTCATTTGTAAAAGTCATGATCTTATATTTTATAAAAAAAAGTTTAATTAATGTGGAACATATATTTAAAAAAATGTGTTACTTATTTCAAACTTTTATTGATTTTGAACTCTTTTGATTTTTTTCCTTTTTTTTGTATTTTCTTCACATGCTTATTTCTTGGTGTGAGACTTTTTTTGAGAAAAAAAATTTATTAAACGTTAGATGAATGTGTAAAATATAAAATTAAATTAGTATAAATCATGTTTTGAAAAAATTAAATGATAAATGGAGCGGAGCGAATATTCGTTGATCCATTTCATTGGGTATCGGGTACCCTATAATCGGGTACCTGTAGGGGTGGCAATGGGGCAGGGGACACCTCCCCAAACCCCCGCCCTGCTTCCCCCGTGGGGGTATACGTGGGGCTAAAAAAATTTTATTATATAATTTTATTATAATTAAATTTGAGCAAATAATTAAGTACTAAAATATCAACACATCACTAAATTATTATTCATTGTAACTTCACAATTGAAACTCATAAAAATAATTAAACAAAGGTTATTTGAATACAATCTAATATGATAAAACAAATATAACTAAAATAATCAAGTTTTCACTTTTGATACGAATACAATCACTAAATTATTATTATGTTTTTTTTTAGAAAAAAGTGTTATTGTATTAAGTATAGTTAGGAATTTAACATAAATGTATTAATAAATTTAGTATAAATAATTAATAATTTTTATTAATAGATATGTATAATTAGTAGTATAATTGTTAATATCATTATATATATATAATTATATATATATATATATATATATATATATATATATATATATATATATATATATATATATATATATATATATATATATATATATATTCAAACCTCGTTTCTAAACGGGGGGAAAAAATTCTCCCTCGGCCCCAATGACCCCTCGCAGGGGTGCTCGCCCCCGTTGTTATCCCTAGGTACCTGTTAATATACGGAGTGGGTAAGGGTCAGAAAATGGTTGACCCGTAAGATGCGGGTTGGATTAGTCAAAATGGTGGACGAGGCGGGTATCCGATCCACGTTCACCCTAGTTTTTCCTCGCCAATTTTATTGTATTTTATGATCAGCCATAGCTTTTGTTGATTCATCATATATATCAAGAAGTGAGGGTAGAGAAAGAAACCTAATTGTTTCTTTGTTTGAAAACTCAAATTAAGAAGTATGAACAAGAAAGAAAATAAGGTAACCCACATGTGATAACTCATTGGCTTGTTCAAGCTGTTCAGGTAACAAAGCCAAAGATTCACTTGTTTCTTAGCTCTGTTGAAGAGCATTAACTCGAAAATTAAAGGGTGGTAGGTTACGCCTGGGGACTCTTATCGCTAGTGAGGAGTTTGAATCCAGGCCACTCAAATGTTGGGAGATGATATGCACTATCATGTTGGAATGAAAATGCATTAATCCCTGCCAGTAGCAATATTTTTTGGAGGGGGTGGGGGGTGTTTGGAGAGGGCTCAGAGTTGAATTATAGAATTCATGGTTACTCAATAAAATTTGCTTCAAAAGTTTGGTTAGTATTGCTTTTTATACACTAAAAGAAAAGGGGGATCAATTACAAAATGTCTCAAGATATTCTTAGCTATAAGATTACTAAATTATTAATTCAAAAGAAACAACCTCAACTAAAGTTTTAGTTGATTATAGACAGTTACATAATATCATTGTATGGAGACACAGAGAATTTTATCCAAAAAGATTGTAAAGGAGAATTCAACAATTTAAATTACATTTTCTTAAAATTGGAGTAATTGGCCACTTGAACATAACCCGCCCATATCGAGGCAACATTTTTTTTTTTTTTCTGAATCTTCCTCAAATTAGTGATGTTCTTAGATGTTAGAGAAAAGAAATTCAACATGAAATTTTCAAGTCTTGAGATTGCTAATATTTTATTAAAATTTTAAAACAAGTGGTGTAATTTGTACTCTACTTTGGAGATAGATCATAATATTCTTGATGAACTATTTTGAAACGTATTATGCACAAAATAACTGACAAAATAAAATATTTACTTATAAATGTGAGTGTGTTTCTTTTGCTTCAGCTTTTTTTTTCTTTTTTTTTTTTTCTGAAAAAGCCATTTGAGATGTACTCTCTCATAAGTTATTAAATAAACTTTTGAGCTTAAAAATAAAATTCACTATAGGACATAGAAAAGTAAATGAGAACACCACAAACAGAATTTATCTTATAAAACTTGGAATTTACTATTTTAAAGAACATGAAAATAGCAATTTTTTGTTTGTTGGGGGGGGGGGCATTCTAAAAAATGAATAAACTTTTAGGTCATCTGAATTTTATTCCTAAAAGTTTGACTTTTTGAAATATTCTCTGTTTGGATTAGCTATTTTTAGAGGTGTTTTTTTAAAAATTTTACTGTAACAGGAGTTTTTAGAGTATATTTTGGAATATTTAAGAGTAGTAGTGTTTTTAAAATATATTTTGGGATTTTTTGAATATTTTAAAAAATTTAGACTACTTTTTAAAGTACCTTTTAGAGTAATTTTTAAAATTTTTTTATTGTATTTGAAAAACTAGTTTTAAAAAAAATAGTGAATCCAAACTGATTAAGCTAAACGTCTTTTACTTTACAAGTGTAGTGTTTACCTACAATAACTTGCGCAAAGCAAAGATCAAATTCTTGAGAAAAATATAATGAGTTTGACCACTTAATCCAATGATTGTTCTTGCTGAAACTTTTAATTTCAAAGCTGAGGAAAAAAAAGATAAAAAGATAAAGGGAAGAGGTAGAGTACAAAATTCAATCCAATATAAAAGTAAATGATGTCTAATCCAAATTACCACGTCCTTCAATTGTATATTAATCAAATTTCCAGAAATTTCAATAAAACCCACCCCTCATAATATAGTAAATCACCGTCGAGCCTCATTATAACCCTAGGCTAGTTTGGGAGTTTATGATAAAAAAGAAAAGAAGAGTAATGGAATGATAAGTTATTAAAGAAAATAAAAGAAGGGGAAGGAGAAGAAATTTTGATATTATTTGAGAGTTTTTAGAAGGGAACAATTTTGGATATACAAATAAAGTTTCGTGAGGATAAAATGGACAATTTGAAAGAATTCTGTAAGCTTCCCATGCATTTTCCTTTGCCTTCCGCCCCTTTTTGGTCGGAAAAAGATTTACAAATTCATTTTCCTTTACTTTCCGCACTTGGGATGCTTCAAAATCCGTTCGTTCCATTTCTTTTCCATCTCACTTGAAGGTCCCAGACATAACTTTTCCTTCCTTTTTATTTTCTTCTCTCTTTTTTTTTTTCGTTTTCACTGAAATCTCACCTTTTTTAATTATTTTTTCACTTCTTTCTCAAAGAATTTTCAGCTTCGTACCTCTCCGCACATAATTTATTCAGATGCTATACTTCTTCAATTGCCTTCCCCTCCCTTGTGGCTGTTATCTCTTGTATCATTCCCCCTTTTTCTCCCTATTTCCGAAACAGCCCCAAATTCTAGGTTTTACGTTCAATTCGCTACGCCTTTCTGGTAATTTTCTTGCACACTTTACTTTTCCTTCAATCAGATGACTCTATATCGCTTCTCCCATTCGTATGTAGATAATTATTTTTTTCCCCTTTTTGTTGAGCATTAGGTCAGGGTTTAAATCAGGGTTGAAGTGTGCAAAATTCTTTATGCATGCATTGATAAATTTGTTTAAAAGATTTAATCTTTAATTGTTACAACTGATTCTGGAGTGAATTAGACTAAAAATTGTACTTTTGTTGATGGGTTTTGTTAGCTTCTGATTTTTTCAGATTTCATTTGACCTCTATTTTCAGTTCATGTGATCACCTATGTTTATCAATGACAAATAGATATTTACGTGTTTTAAGTATGTTTTATAGTTTTGGTGTGCTTTAATTAGTTTTATAGTTAATAAACTAGGAATCTAGTGAAAATATGCATTTTATGGTTTAAAGTATGAAAATTGCATTTCTATGAATTTTTAATGGTAAAAACTTCATGTTTTTGTGGGTTTAAGGATTCAATCATCAAAGGGAGAGATTTAACAAGATAATTGGATGATTGATGATGATTTGAAATGGTTTAAAGAAGACATGAAGTGCAAAAGAGGAAATGCAATCAAGAATAAAAGGAAGCAAGTTTCACAGCTTTGACACCTTCTGGTATTTTGGCTATATGTGAGCTACAAGCATTGGATTGAGGTGATTCTTGAACCATTTTGAAGCTAAGAGATATATCTACATTTGGTATGAAGACATCGAAATCCAAATCAGTCGTTTTCCATGTCAAAAAGCCGGAATACAGAAACACAAATTCTGTGGTCGTAAGCTTGAACAGAGCTCTGACTAGTCTTTGGTATTTTGATCATATCTCAGTTCACAGAGCTCCAAATTGGATGATTTTTAAGGCATTGGAAATCTAACTCAAAGAGCTACAACTTTCATGTTTTGCACAAGAACTAGTTCAGCCTCCATCATCAAGAAAATAGCGGTTGAAATAGTGGAGAAGTGAAAAGGCGACTCATT